CAACCTCTGCAACTTCTCTTCAGAATCTCCCAAGAGCACAGTGTCATTAGCAAAGAGCAACTGTGACAAATCCCTCTTTACGTGTGATTCTTTATCTTTTAACTCCACGCCTCTTGCCAAGACCCTCACATTTACTTCTCTTACAACCCCATCTATAAGTATATTGAACAACCACGGTGACATCGCATATCCTTGTCTTAGGCCTACTTTTACTGGGAAATAATCTCCCTCTTTCCTACATACTCTAACTTGAGCCTCACTATCCTCGTAAAAACTCTTCACTGCTTTCAGTAACCTACCTCCTATACCATACATCTGCAACATCTGCCACAATGCCCCCCTATCCACCCTCTCCTATGCCTTTTCCAGATCCATAAATGCCACAAAAACCTCTTTAGCCTTATCTAAATACTGTTCACTTATATGTTTCATGTAAACACCTGGTCCACACACCCCCTACCTTTCCTAAAGCCTCCTTGTTCATCTGCTATCCTATTCTCCGTCTTATTCTTAATTCTTTCAGTAATAACTCTACCATACACTTTACTAGGTATAATCAACAGACTTATCCCCCTATAATTTTTGCACTCTCTTTTGTCCCCTTTGCCTTTATACAAAGGAACTATGCATGTTCTCTGCCAATCCCTAGGTACCTTACCCTCCTCCATACATTTATTAAATAATAGCACCAACCACTCCAAAACTATATCCCCACCTGCTTTTAACACTTCTATCTTTATCCCATCAATCCCAGCTGCCTTACCCCCTTTCATTTTACCTACTGCCTCAGGAACTTCCCCCACACTCACAACTGACATTCCTCACTCCTACAAGATGTTATTCCTCCTTGCCCTATACACGAAATCAGAGCTTCCCTATCTTCATCAACATTCAACAATTCCTCAAAATATTCCCTCCATCTTCCCAATACCTCTAACTCTCCATTTAATAACTCTCCTCTCCTATTTCTAACTGACAAATCCATTTGTTCTCTAGGCTTCCTTAACTTGTTAATCTCACTCCAAAACTTTTTCTTATTTTCAACAAAATTTGTTGATAACATCTTACCCACTCTCTCATTTGCTCTCTTAACCTCTCTCTTTTTCTCCATATACTCTTCCCTCCTTGCATCACTTCTACTTTGTAAAAAAATCTCATATGCTAACTTTTTCTCCCTTACTACTCTCTTTACATCATCATTCCACCAATCGCTCCTCTTCCCTCCCACACCCACTTTCCTGCAACCACAAACTTCTGCTGAACACTCTAGCACTACATTTTTAAACCTACCCCATACCTCTTCGACCCCATTGCCTATGCTCTCATTAGCCCATCTATCCTCCAATAGTTGTTTATATCTTACCCTAACTGTCTCTTCTTTTAGTTTATAAACCTTCACCTCTCTCTTACCTGATGCTTCTATTCTCCTTGTGTCCCATCTACCTTTTACTCTCAGTGTAGCTACAACTAAAAAGTGATCTGATATGTCTGTAGCCCCTCTATAAACATGTACATCCTGAAGTCTACTCAACAGTCTTTTATCTACCAATACATAATCCAACAAACTACTGTCATTTCGCCCTACATCATATCTTGTATACTTATTTATCCTCTTTTTCTTAAAATATGTATTACCTATAACTAAACCCCTTTCTATACAAAGTTCAATCAAAGGGCTCCCATTATCATTTACACCTGGCACCCCAAACTTACCTACCACACCCTCTTTAAAAGTTTCTCCTACTTTAGCATTCAGGTCTCCTACAACAATTACTCTCTCACTTGGTTCAAAGGTTACTATACATTCACTTAACATCTCCCAAAATCTCTCTCTCTCCTCTACATTCCTCTCTTCTCCAGGTGCATACACGCTTATTATGACCCACTTTTCGCATCCAACCTTTACTTTAATCCACATAATCCTTGAATTTACACATTCATATTCTCTTTTCTCCTTCCATAACTGATCCTTCAACATTACTGCTACCCCTTCCTTAGCTCTAACTCTCTCAGATACTCCAGATTTAATCCCATTTATTTCCCCCCACCGAAACTCCCCTACCACCTTCAGCTTTGTTTCGCTTAGGGCCAGGACATCCAACTTCTTTTCATTCATAACATCAGCAATCATCTGTTTCTTGTCATCCGCACAACATCCACGCACATTCAAGTATCCCAGTTTTATAAAGTTTTTCTTCTTCTCTTTTTTAGTAAATGTCTACAGGAGAAGGGGTTACTAGCCCATTGCTCCCGGCATTTTAGTCGCCTCATACGACACGCATGGCTTACGGAGGAAAGATTCTTTTTCACTTCCCCATGGACAATAGAAGAAATAAAGAAGAACAAGAGCTATTTAGAAAAAGGAGAAAAAACCTAGATGTATGTATATATATATATATGCATGTGTGTGTCTGTGAAGTGTGACCAAACTGTAAGTAGGAGTAACAAGATATCCCTGTTATCTAGCGTGTTTATGAGACAGAAAAAGACACCAGCAATCCTACCATCATGTAAAACAGTTACAGGTTTCTGTTTCACAGTCATCTGGCAGGACGGTAGTACTTCCCTGGGTGGTTGCTGTATGTATATATATATATATATATATATATATATATATATATATATATATATATATATATATATATATATATATATATATATACAGTGGACCCTCAACCAACGGCATTAATCCATTCCAGAGGGCTTGCCGTTGGTCAAGTTAATTTTCCCCATAAGAAATAATGGAAATGTAATTAATCCGTTCCTGACACCCCAAAGTCTGAAAAAAAAAATTACACGAAATATACATTTCCTTATATGGCAAGGAATGGGACATGCAAAATAAACAATAATTAAATGCCACTTACCTTTATTGTGGAGTTGTTGATGAGTGATGTGCCGGCAGCAGTTGAAATTTATAATTGTCTATTGCTTGGAAGGAGAATCCCCTTCCAGAAGAAATTCAGGTACCAGTTCTTTGGTGGGGTTACCTCCCTCCTTGGTTTTTTAATGCCACTAGGACCAGCTTGAGAGTCACTGGACCCCTGTTGCACAAAATAGCTGTCCAGAGAGCTCTATTTCTCACGTGCCCTTAGGATTTCCCTAAAATGGGACACAAGAGTGTCATTGTACATGTACATTTTCATCGTAATTCTCGCCCTTTTTAACACAGGCTTGGCACTAGAAGCTTTCTTGGGACCCATGGTGGCTTATTTAGTGGTTTCAAGCACTAGAAATAGTGGAATAATCCAAAATATATGGGAGGTACACATGGAAACCGACTGCAACAGCTTGTAAACAATGGCACACTGACTCTTGGAGTGGCTGGGCCTGCTCAGGCTGTGCTCTGGGCACATCGACACGTTCCGGACGTTGTTGGTTAAGTTTTTCGCCGTTGGTTAAGGCATTTTTTCTATGGCAAAAAGCGCTGTTAGACAAAATTGCTGTTACTTAATGCTGCCGTTAGTTGAAGGTCGTATATATATATATATATATATATATATATATATATATATATATATATATATATATATATATATATATAAGTTACCAAACTGCGCGGGCCAGGATTCGACCCCACTACACACTGTCCCGCCTCAAGAGACAACACAACATACCTGTCACCCTATCCACTATGCCATCGATCCTACAAACAACATGATCTTAGCAAACTAGACTTGTTTCATGTTGCAAGGACACTCGTGGCAGTGGATACTCAAGGATTAATTTCAGCCTCCTCCTGTTTGAATACCTGCCTCAACAAGCAGTCTATATAGCAATGAAACCATGAAACAAGTGGTACTGAATCATTTACCAAACTGTGTCAGGCCAGGATTCGACCCCACGACACATAACTTTGCACTTGCTTGGGGTTAAACTTCAGGAGCTATTTGTTAAACCAAGCTTGCAGTCTGTCCAGAACCCCTTGCAGGCTTACCTGATCTTCGTCCACTCGTATTTTCCTCGTTAGCTTCACATCATCTGCAAACAAGGACACCTCTGAATCTATCCCTTCCGTCATGTCATTTACACATACTAGAAACAGCACCGGACCTAGGACTGACCCTTGTGGAACCCCACTCGACATATGCACCCACTCTTACACCTCGCCTTGTATCAACACACGTTATTTCCTTCCTGTCAAGTAATTTTTGATCCATTGCAGCATTTTCCATGCTGTTCCTGCCTGATCCTCAAGCTTTTCAACCAATCTCTTGTGTAGTAATGTGTCGAAAGCCTTCTTACAGTCCAAGAAGATGCAGTCTACCCATCCTTCTCTCTCTTGTCTTACTTCATATAACTATCTCCTGTCTTACTTCATAGAACTCCAGTAGGATTGTGACGCAGGATTTCCCTTCCCTAAAGCTGTGCTGGTTGTCACATATAAGTTCACTCGTTTCTATGTGTTCCACCATTCTTCTCCTGATAATCTTCTCCATAATTTTACATACTATACATGTCAGAGACATTTGTCTGTAGTTTAGTGCTGCCTGTCTATCTCTTTTTTTAAAAATCGTGAGTACATTTTGTCTTCCACACCTTAGGCAGTTGCCCTGTTTCAATAGATCTATTGCAGACTGTTAGTGGCACACATAGTGCATCTCTTCCCTCTTTCAGGACCCAAGGAGAGATATTATCAGGGCCCACCACCTTCGAGGTATCTAGTTTCCTTAGCAATTTCTTCACCTCCTCCTCCTCAGTTGTGTGCAGTGTGCCGAGCGCTTGTTGGTGTACTCTTCCACCTCGGATTGCTGAAAGCCTCTCTGTCCCTACTGTGAATACCTCCCTGAATCGTGAGCTGAGCTCCTCACATTCGTCCTGGTCGTTCCCTGTGAGTTCCCTTCCTTCCTTCCTCAGCCTAATGTGTCTGTATAACAACTGTGTGTGTGTGTGTGTGTGTGTGTGTGTGTGTGTGTGTGTGTGTGTGTGTGTGTGTGTGTGTGTGTGTGTGTGTGTGTGTGTGTGTGTGTGTGCATACACACCCAACAGAGAGTACATACCTCCACATCCGAGGATTCCTGAGGTGAAAAGGTGGGTGCCAGAACATAATGTGGCAGCGGTGAAGGTTGTGAGGGTGCCGTGGCCAGCCAGGTGTGGGCACTGATGGCACTAGTGCCAGGTCTGTCACTTGGCTCTTGTACCAGTAGACGAGAGATGAGATCAGAAGCAGCAGGTGAGACGTGATCAGGAGTGGTAAACGCTCCAGCCAGGATGTGTCGCTTCAGACCTGCTACTGTGTTGGCCTACACGCAACACAATTTATATTATTATTATCATAATCATTATCATCATTATCATCATATTATTATTAATAGATTATCAAAATATTATTTTGCTATTATTAGTTTTATCATTATTTCATTATTATTATTATTATAATTATAATTAATATTATTATAATTATTAAGTTTATCAAAAATATTAATAGTAATATTATTAATATTGCTATTATTAGTTTTATTATTTTTATTATTTTTACTATCATTATTATTCCAATTATTACTATTATCATGTCAATTATTATTGACACAAGTATAAAAATATACTTATGTGGACAGAGGTAATGAACCAGGAAAACAGAGGTCATAACAAGAGTGATATTACGGATTACAGGACACAAGTTAACTTAGTAAACGTTTCTTGTATAGCTCTGGCTCCTGGACCCTGGTCAGTATAAACAATGCAAGGGAATGGAAGAAAACAGTGTGTTAAGGATGTAGTAAGAAGGTGACTGTAGGCGTCAGGTGAAGGTGTTAGGTCACTTAATTAAGTTACTGACAGTCACACTGTACTGAATAATCCTCAGTGACTACTAGCAACACTGTACTGAATAATCCTCAGTGACTACTAGCAACACTGTACTGAATAATCCTCAGTGACTACTAGCAACACTGTACTGAATAATCCTCAGTGACTACTAGCAACACTGTACTGAATAATCCTCAGTGACTACTAGCAACACTGTACTGAATAATCCTCAGTGACTACTAGCAACACTGTACTGAATAATCCTCAGTGACTACTAGCAACACTGTACTGAATAATCCTCAGTGACTACTAGCAACACTGTACTGAATAATCCTCAGTGACTACTAGCAACACTGTACTGAATAATCCTCAGTGACTACTAGCAACACTGTACTGAATAATCCTCAGTGACTACTAGCAACACTGTACTGAATAATCCTCAGTGACTACTAGCAACACTGTACTGAATAATCCTCAGTGACTACTAGCAACACTGTACTGAATAATCCTCAGTGACTACTAGCAACACTGTACTGAATAATCCTCAGTGACTACTAGCAACACTGTACTGAATAATCCTCAGTGACTACTAGCAACACTGTACTGAATAATCCTCAGTGAATACTAGCAACACTGTACTGAATAATCCTCAGTGACTACTAGCAACACTGTACTGAATAATCCTCAGTGACTACTAGCAACACTGTACTGAATAATCCTCAGTGACTACTAGCAACACTGTACTGAATAATCCTCAGTGACTACTAGCAACACTGTACTGAATAATCCTCAGTGACTACTAGCAACACTGTACTGAATAATCCTCAGTGACTACTAGCAACACTGTACTGAATAATCCTCAGTGACTACTAGCAACACTGTACTGAAATAATCCTCAGTGACTACTAGCAACACTGTACTGAATAATCCTCAGTGACTACTAGCAACACTGTACTGAATAATCCTCAGTGACTACTAGCAACACTGTACTGAATAATCCTCAGTGACTACTAGCAACACTGTACTGAATAATCCTCAGTGACTACTAGCAACACTGTACTGAATAATCCTCAGTGACTACTAGCAACACTGTACTGAATAATCCTCAGTGACTACTAGCAACACTGTACTGAATAATCCTCAGTGACTACTAGCAACACTGTACTGAATAATCCTCAGTGACTACTAGCAACACTGTACTGAATAATCCTCAGTGACTACTAGCAACACTGTACTGAATAATCCTCAGTGACTACTAGCAACACTGTACTGAATAATCCTCAGTGACTACTAGCAACACTGTACTGAATTCTCAGTGACTACTAGCAACACTGTACCGAATCATCCTCACTGGCTACTAGCAACACGTTATTGAATCACTCACTGGCTACTAGCAACACTGTACTGAATCATCTTCATTGGCTACTAGCAACACTGTACTGAATAATCCTCAGTGACTACTAGCTCACCCTCACCTACTAGCAACACTGTATTGAATCATCCTCACTGGTTACTAGCAACACTGTACTGAATCATTCTCACTAGCAACAGTACTGAATCATCCTCACTGGCTACTAGCAACACTTTACTGAATCATCCTGACTACTAGCAACACTATACTGAATCATTTCACTGACTACTAGCAACACTGTACTAAATTCATCTTATGGCTACTAGCAAACTGAACTGATCATCCTCACTGGCTACTAGCAACACTGTACTGAATCATCCTCACGGGGCTACTAGAAACCCACTGTATGAATATCCCTCACTGGCTACTAGCAACACTGTACCGAATCATCCCATGGCTACTAGCAACACTGTATGAATCTTTCCTCACTGGCTACTAGCAACACTGTACTGAATCATCCTCACTGGCTACTAGCAACACTGTACTGAATCATCCTCACTGGCTACTAGCAACACTGTACTGAATAATCCTCAGTGAATACTAGCAACACTGTACTGAATAATCCTCAGTGACTACTAGCAACACTGTACTCAATAATCCTCAGTGGCTACTAGCAACACTGTACTGAATAATCCTCACTACTAGCAACACTGTACTGAATAATCCTCACTACTAGCAACACTGTACAGAATAATCCTCAGTGACTACTAGCAACATTGTACTGAATAATTCTCAGTGACTACTAGCAACACTGTACCGAATCATCCTCACTGGCTACTAGCAACACGGTATTGAATCACTCACTGGCTACTAGCAACACTGTACTGAATCATCTTCACTGGCTACTAGCAACACTGTACTGAATCATCCTCACTGGCTACTAGCAACAATGTACTGAATCATCCTCACTGGCTACTAGCAACACAGTACTGAACCATCCTCACTGGCTACTAGCAACACTGTACCGAATCATCCTCACTGGCTACTAGCAACACTTTACCGAATCATCCTCACTGGCTACTAGCAACGCTGTACTGAATCATCCTCACTGGCTACTAGCAACACTGTACTGAATAATTCTCAGTGACTACTAGCAACACTGTACCGAATCCTCACTGGCTACTAGCAACACTGTACTTAATAATCCTCACTGGCTACTAGCAACACTGTACTGAACCATCCTCAGTGACTACTAGCAACACTACTGAATCATCCTCAGTGACTACTAGCAACATTGTACTGAATAATCGTCAGTGACTAAAGCAACACTGTACTGAATCATCCTCACTAACTACTAGCAACACTGTACTGACTCATCCTTACTGACTACTAGCAACACTATACTGAATGGTCCTCACTGACTACTAGCAACACTGTACTGAATCATCCTCACTGGCTACTAGCAACGCTGTACTGAATCCTCAATGACTACTAGCAACACTGTACTGAATCATCCTCAGTGACTACTAGCAACATTGTACTGAATCATCCTCACTGACTACTAGCAACACTGTAATTGCTCATCCTCACTACTAGCAACACTGTACTGAATCATCGTCAGTGACTACAAGCATCACTGTACTGACTCACCCTCACTGACTACTAGCAACACTGTACTGAATCGTCAGTTACCACTAGCAACATTGTACTGAATTATCCTCAGTGACTACTAGCAACACTGTACTGAGTCATCCTCAATGACTACTAGCAACACTGTACTGAATCATCCTCAGTGACTACTAGCAACACTGTACTGAATCATCCTCAGTGACTACTAGCAACGCTGTACTGAATCATCCTCAGTGACTACTAGCAACACTGTACTGAATCATCCTCAGTGACTAGCAACGCTGTACCGAATCATCCTCAGTGGCTACTAGCAACACTGTACTGAATCATCCTCACTGGCTACTAGCAACACTGTACTGAATCATCCTCACTGGCTACTAGCAACACTGTAATGAATCATCCTCAGTGACTACTAGTAACATTGTACTGAATCATCCTCACTGACTACTAGCAACACTACTGAATCATCGTCAGTGACTACTAGCAACACTGTACTGTATCGTCAGTTACCACTAGCAACATTGTACTGAATCATCCTCAATGACTACTAGCAACACTGTACTGAATCATCCTCAGTGACTACTAGCAACACTGTACTGAATCATCCTCAATGACTACTAGCAACACTGTAGTGAATCATCCTCAATGACTACTAGCAACACTGTACTGAATCATCCTCAATGACTACTAGCAACACTGTACTGAATCATCCTCAGTGACTACTAGCAACACTGTACTGAATCCTCCTCATTCTCTATTAGCAACACTGTACTGAATCATCCTCAGTGACTACTAGCAACACTGTACTGAATCATCCTCAGTGACTAGCAACACTGTACCGAATCATCCTCAGTGGTTACTAGCAACACTGTACTGAATCATCCTCACCGGCTACTAGAAACACTGTACTGATTCATCCTCACTGACAACTAGCAACACTACTTGACTCAAGAAATCGTAATGACACGATTGCAAATAAACCATACCCCCGGCCGGGATTGAACCCGCGGTCATAGAGTCTCAAAACTCCAGCCCGTCGCGTTAACCACTAGACCAGCTAGCCACAATAAGATTCATCCAACTAAGTATATTTCTACACCATAGAAAAGTTAGCACAGGCACCTCTGTGACCACAAATGCAAGTTTTTACAGACGAATCTCCAGCTAGCGTGGCCGTGAGTCATGTTGACGGCAGTGAAGGGACTTGAGCTAGAGTTCGTCACGGCCACGCTAGCTGGAGATTCGTCTGTAAAAACTTGCATTTGTGGTCACAGAGGTGCCTGTGCTAACTTTCCTGTGGTGTAGAAATATACCTAGTTGGATGAATCTTATTGTGGCTAGCTGGTCTAGTGGCTAACGCGACGGGCTGGAGTTTTGAGACTCTATGACCGCGGGTTCAATCCCGGCCGGGGTATGGTTTAACTAGCAACACTGTACTGAATGTTGTTAGGTAAGACACATATGCAACAGTTAGACAACTTTATTCCGAAACGTTTCGCCTACACAGTAGGCTTC